GCCTCGTTCGGCTCGCTGAAATTTAGTTGAAATTGGCTGAAAAGCACCGTTTTGATTGAAATATTGTGAGAAAAAAAGGACGGTTCCGACTAAAAAAAGCCGAACAAATTATATTTACGGCCTCTTTGGCATGGCTTATGTCGGCTTCGGCTTCATCTATTTTGCGCAAATCGAGGCACTATAGCGTGAAGCTGTTTTGTAAACCGGTATTAAAATGAACTAGAAGCCGAAAAAAACCAGTTTTTCTGGCTTCACCGACTTTAACTTCATCGGTGAAGCCGCTTTGAACGAGCCGTACCAAGGGCTAAGATAAACCAACGGGGCCTCTTTTTTTTTAATATGGATGGGAAAGAGATATGGGCTACCGTCGGAGATGCCCGGTAAGTTAAGAATAGACTATTGATAGAGTTCGCCGATCTTTTGGAACAGTACCTGTGTACGGCAGCGTCGTTTTTTCCCTTCATTGTGTGGCCGTGACGGCACGCCACGCGTGGACGGGACGAGGACTACCGCCGAAGCCGTCCGGCAGTGCCGCAGCGCACTGGGGCCAGGAACATGGGCCCGCTTTGCTCTGACTAGCCCAGACCAAGGTCACATGCCTGGCCGTGTGCCGTGTGCGGCGGCGTGCCGGTGTCAGTGTCACTCATCCCCCATCCGCTGCGCGCGTCCAAACCAAACACGACGCCTGTGGCCGGCCGCGCCCTGACTTTTCCTTGAAACGGCTGCCTGCATGGACCGTTCCGCCACCAGAAACGTGGGGATCCTGTCGTGTGCTCGGCGCGGGAACCGGCGGCAGCAGGCCCGCCGGCGGCCACCTCGTCGTGCCCGGGCGTTTGCTTTTCGTGACGGAATCCGCGTCGTCACGGAACAGGCTGTTCTCACTTTTGGCCGAACGGCGCCGGCGGGTGGTGGTCCACGACGCTGCCGCGCACGCTTGGCACGGCACACTGAGAGAGACGCAGCCAATCCCCAGACTATTCGTTCGTAAACGATCGTAAATTTTCAGCCAGAATAATATTTCTCTCTCACATAAACCCACCAACATTACTCCCTCACGAACCAGCGTCCAGCGACGAAACGATAAAGCCAACCGCGAACATGCTGCCCACGGCCCGGCCCGGCACGCCCAAAACCCCCAGTCCCATGCAATATAATTCTGCCTCGCCCGCCCATCGCTGCTCCCCACCGAAACACTCCGGACGCGTCGTCGCTTCCCAAAAGCCAGGCCCCTGTCAGTCTCCATCTCCACACTTCGCTCTCACTCCACGCCGCGTACAGCTATTAATACCACCACCGCCGCCCGACGACGCCCTGACCACCTCCGCCGGAATGAGATCGCCTAACTTCACAGCATACGACTGCACCTGCAGTCAGCGTAATCAGCACCGTCCGCTGCTGATCCAACGTCTCCACGTATAGGCTAAGCACTCTGGCTGCCGTGCTCCTCTGCTACATGGGCCTTGGCCCAAGAATAACACCGCCACTCCCGTATTTGGCGGCGTCTTTTTCCTTTTGCGCGAATATCTGCGTGCTTTCCCGCTAGCGAAGGTGAAGCGTCGGCGTCGGCCATCGGCTTTTCTTGCAAGCACAGGCGTCAAGCGTCGGCGATCGGTCATTGCTCGTGTTTAGCGCCAAAAAATATGTTTGCAGGTTTGCACCGCTTTCTCCTCTCCACGTGTGTTTGATTGCATCAGTTTTCTTCTAATTTATTTGCTATCCTCTACTACCTCAGCTTATGTTGGAATTGATTAAAGAAGAAATGTCAACTTGCTTTCAGAATATATGAGATGGAACAAAAGAGGTGTGTGACCCATGCCTGTTTCTTTCTCCCCATGCGTTCAGACACATTTCAGTTGCTTATTGAATATTTCGTGTGCTATAGGGATGAGTTTTCTTCAAATTTCGCACCTCAAGTTGGCATGGAATTCAACAGTACACATGAGGCTTGGTTGTTTTGGGTCAACTATGATGGTCAAAAAGGTTTTGAGGTTAGAAAAAGATACTCAAACAAAAGAAAATCAGATGGAAACATTAGGTCATGCAGATTTGTTTGTGCGAATGAGGGTCACAGATTGAAAGATAAAAGAGATCATTTAATAAAGTCTCCGAGAGCTGAAACTAGAACTGATTGTGAAGTTCGCATGGGTCTCGTACTAGACCGGGAGAAAGGAAATTATAAAGTCACTGAGGTGATTTTGGAACACAATCACACCCTTCAGTTGCCACAAACCTCACATTTGTTGGTGTCTCAAAGGAAAAAATTTCAGAGCTACAAGGTTTTGAAATTGAGACGGCTGACGATGCAGTAATTGGACCCAAAGCTGCACATGAGTTGGCTTCTATTCAAGTTGGTGGCTCAGCTCATCTCAGTTACACTCTTCGAGACCACAAGAACTATTTAAAGGCCAAGCGCCAACGTGAGATGGCATATGGTCAAGCTGGAAGCATGCTTATGTATATTTAAGAAAAAATTGCCGAGAACCCGTCATTCCAATATGCATTGCAAATGGACCGGGAAGAACAAATAGCTAACATTTTCTGGGTTGATGCTAAAATGCTCACTGACTATGCATATTTTGGTGATGTTGTTAGTTTTGATACTACTTTTGGAACAAACAGGGAGAGTAGGCCTTTTGGAATATTTGTTGGGTTCAATCATTTTAGAGAAACTGTGATTTTTGGTGCTGTTCTCATGTACGATGAGACATTTGAGTCCTTCAAATGGCTATTTGAGACCTTTCTAAAAGCACATAATGGCAAGCAACCAAAAACAATCTATACCGATCAAGATGCAGCAATGGGAAAGGCTGTTAAGGAGGTCTTTTTGGAATCTTGGCATGGTCTATGCACTTTTCACATTATGCAGAACGCTGTTAAGCATCTTGCTGAACGTGACGATAAAGAATCAGATACTCCTCCAAAAAGAAAGAACGAAGACAATAAGGAAGAACCAAGTATTCTCGTAGATTTTAGTGCATGTATGTATGAGTATGAAGATGAAGAAACATTTCAAGAAGCATTTAACACTATGAGGACAAAGGCCAGCAAGCAAACTTGGTTGGATAGCATATATAAGGTAAGAGAAAAGTGGGTTGCATGTTATATGACTAATGTGTACACATTAGGAATGAGGAGTACACAATTGAGTGAGAGTCTAAACAGTGACTTGAAGAGACATTTCAAATCAGATTTTGATATCATTCGATTCCTTAAGCATTTTGAAAGGGTTGTGGAATTTAAAAGAAATAATGAATTACATGCTGAATTTGAATCAAGAAAGAAATTACCAAGACTTAAAATGAGGACACCTATGTTAGTCCAAGCTAGCAAGCTGTACACATCAATTGTTTTTGAAGCTTTCCAATCTGAATATGAGAGGTCCATGGCAGCATGCACCACGCCATTGAAAGGCAATAATGAATATGTTGTAGCAGTTGGGAGTCTTGATGAAAATTGTATCATTGAGAAGGAGTACAAAGTTACTGGTGATCCTGCAGACCAAACAAGCACATGCAACTGTAGGCAGTTCAATAGAATCGGAATATTATGTGCTCATGCTTTAAAAGTTCTTGATTTAATGAACATCAAGTTAATCCTGGAACAATATATACTGAAGCGTTGGACTCGAGAAGCACGCAGTGGGGCTGTACAAGACAACCAAGGCCGAAACATAATAGAGGATCCAAAATTAGATGCTATGCTTTGCTAAAAAAATATGACTCGCAAATTCCTCAATTTGGCACACCAAGCTGCAAGTCATCCACGGTGCGTCCTATTAGTCAACGAGGCATTTGACATGGTTAGCAAGCAAGTCGAAGAAGAAATCATGAGTCTTCCTAGTGCAGTGAATCCAACCAATGTTCCCACAAATGATTCTCCTCCAATTGATTTGTTGAGTACAGTAAGCCTAAAGAAAAAGCACGTGGAAACTAAAACCTCAAAGCGCAAAAAAGCTTGGTTTGAAAAGATACGCAAAGTTGCAAAGAAAAAAGAAAATAGTCCAAAGGTATATGATAACGCAAAATATATCAGATTTTCTAATACTGTGTTTAATGGGCACATGTTCAGTTTTATTTCTTTTATTTGAAGGAACAAGAAACTGCAAAGAATGAAGGTAAGAAAAAGAAAAAAAAAGATGCAGTACAAGAAACAACATCAATACAAAACACTGCAGCAGTACAAAATATTTATCCTAGTACTTTTTTACCCATGAATGAAATGCCTGAACCATACATGACCATCAATGCCTTCTCTCAGATATTGAAGGTGATATTTCAATCTAATACACTATTTTTCTAAACCATACATGGCCATCGATACATTCCTCATTTGTTTTTTTGAATCTTGTATTTTGCAGGGGGCAATCACAGATGATGTTATTGTTGACTTCTAGTAGTTTAGGAGAATCAAATCAAACCATGAATCGAACCAGAGAGATCGCCCCGACTCCACCCCAAAGGCGAACAGCGCCCTCTTATTCTTCTTGGCGTCGCGCGCGGCGGTTGCCGATGCGTGCGATGCGGCGTCACTGTTGCCCATCTCGCCTTGTGGTCAGTGGCGGCGTCGGACTGCTGCGCGGTTGCCGGTCCCCGTCGACGCGCGTGCGTTGGGGAGAGCGAGGGTGTGGCGTATGGGGGAGCAGGAGGGGATGAGAGGAGAGAGCTGCGGTGGATGGGCGGGGAAACGGCCAGGGCATGAAGCGGATGGGGCGAGGGGCGGCGGGAGGCAGGCGGCGTGCGACGTGGGAGTAGTTGTGCTTGTGTGTCGGAGACTCGGAGTATTTCTTTTTCTTTTTTTTTCTGCAGAGGCCACGCGATTTTTTTTTCTCCATGGAAACCGCCTGGTGCGGGCGTTTAGCGCGGCTAAGCGGGGATTATCGGGGCGAAAACGATGTCATTTGGGTCTTTTAGCGGTAGAGATTACGCGATGAGCTGTAATTTTTAAGAGTTTTTTTTTTGTTTCCCTGGCGATTAATATGGCTATTGTCTATGGAATTCCAGAGGCGTGCCGGTGTGGTTGCACTACGTGCCAGGAACGGTTTTCAGGACAAACAATGAGCCATTCAAGGTGCGGTGGACATATGAATTTCACGGAGCGCCTCTGCTAATTATTCTAGTTTGGTGCTAACTGTAGTAATTTTTCTGGATGCAGAGCCATATGAAGAGTTTCACGACATACATTATGAATATGATGAAGAAAGAGCAGCTCTTCACTTCTCAGGGAGGGAACATTATCCTAGCTCAGGTCATAATAGTTGATATAGTATTTTACATTCAGTTTTGATTTTTTTAGCAACAGACAAGCTTTCAGATTGTATGTTGACAAGTTTACATTGCAGATAGAGAATGAGTATGGAGATTATTATGAACAAGCATATGCACCTGGCGGCAAGCCATACGCGATGTGGGCAGCTAGTATGGCTCTTGCTCAAAACACTGGTGTCCCTTGGATTATGTGCCAGGAGTCTGATGCTCCTGATCCTGTGGTTAGTTTTTACACCCGAAGCCTGGCTGTTTTATTAACAGACTAACAGTCAAAACACGAATTGCTTCATTAATCTAACTGTGGTCGCAAGCTCTTGGACTGACACAAGTGACATATTTCTTTGCTAATAACAATATGTTTGATGACATGTTTTCAAAAAAAAAATCTACGTTTGATGACATGCCCCTGAAATCGACTTTTAAAAATGAGACACTATGGTAGGGAAAAAAGGTTGAATGGAGGAAAATTTCTGGTCCTTGAGGTTTTAGTTCTGCTATTCATCACATAAAAAAATTTATTTGACAGTTGGGACTACAAAGGAATACTTCCGCAGATATTTTCGTCATAACTATGTGATTAGTGCTTGAGCGATTTAACTCTTTACTATGCATTTTTTGGCAGATTCATTCATGCGTGTAAATTTATATTTACAGATAAACTCTTGTAATGGTTTCTACTGCGATGGATTCCAGCCAAATTCACCAACCAAGCCAAAACTTTGGACTGAGAATTGGCCAGGCTGGTAATGCATTTTGCGTACTTCTGTTACTAACAGATATGTTGCACCGTTGACAATGTAGTATTTTTTGAAGCAAATTATGTGCAAATTTTTGAATTTTCTCACTTTCAAACTTGAAGTTTTATGATCCTACTTTTTGTCTCTTTTAATTTATGTGTAGGTTCCAGACTTTTGGTGAAAGTAATCCCCACAGACCACCTGAAGATGTTGCATTCGCTGTTGCACGTTTTTTCGAGAAAGGTGGCAGCGTTCAGAATTACTATGTGGTAATGCCTTTGCATTACTCATACATTACTTGACTAAGATATGTGCATCAGGGCATCTCCAACAATGCCACCTCAGCTGGCCAGTTTCTGAGTTGTCAAAAACACTATTAGCTGTTAGCCATGGTCGTTCATCTGGAATAATCAAATCATAAATAGTCAGTACTCCTACCTGTTTCAAAATTTTAACTTACCAAAGGCTGATAATTTTCCATTATCCTTTTGAAGTATCATGGTGGCACAAATTTTGGTCGCACTACTGGGGGGCCATTCATTACAACTAGCTATGACTATGATGCACCAATTGATGAATATGGTTTGGCTCTATTGCTCTCCTATGGATCCAATCAATGATCTTTGTGCTTAAGCCATATTAATGTTGTTAATTGATCTGAAACTCAGGCCTCAGGAGATTTCCAAAGTGGGCACATCTGAGGGATCTTCACAAATCTATAAGATTGTGTGAGCACACCCTGCTTTATGGAAACACAACGTTTCTTTCCCTGGGGCCTAAACAAGAGGCAAGTTTTATTCTCCTGGTGTTATAACTTGCGTGCTAATAGTGTAATCCAGTTAAATGCAACATGTTTAGCCCAGTTACATATCAAAATAAGTTAAACATTTCTAAATTTTTAATTGTTAGTGTTGTATATGGTATCTAATATATACTTGATTAATGCTGCTATATTAGATCGGTATGAAGCCATCTGTTTAATCTCAGCATACTGTAATTCAGCAATGTGTTACTGCACATCACAATTCCATTTCCTACAACAACAACAACAACAACAACAACATAGCCTTTCAGTCCCAAGCAAGTTGGGGTAGGCTAGAGTTAAAACCCACCAAGAGCCCCAATTCCATTTCCCTAAATCCCACATTTTCATAATCCTACTGACTATTCAGATTAATAGTTAATCTTCATTTACAGGCTGATATTTACAGTGACCAGTCTGGAGGATGTGTTGCATTCCTGGCAAACATTGATTCAGCCAATGACAAAGTTGTCACTTTCCGTAACAGGCAATATGATCTTCCTGCTTGGTCAGTTAGTATTCTTCCTGACTGCAGGAATGTGGTGTTCAACACTGCAAAGGTATTTGATCTTTTAGTGCTCTTCGCTTTTCAGAATAGGAACAAATTCAGCCTTGTTAGATAAAATAGATAACATTCTTCTCAGGTAAATAAGTAATGAATAACTGGATAACTAAAAAGAGAAAGGATTGCAGGCTCGTAACCAGTTTACATACTTTAACGGTAATGAGTTTATGGAGAAACACTGTAGTTGCGTTTTTTTCTTCACAAGAAATAAGGCCCGCAACTTTTGGTTCTTGATGATTTATGATATTTAGGTGCAATCTCAAACTTCGATGGTGGCCATGGTCCCAGAAAGTTTGCAAGCATCAAAACCTGAGCGATGGAGCATTTTCAGGGAGAGAACTGGGATTTGGGGTAAAAATGACTTTGTCCGAAATGGATTTGTGGACCATATTAATACAACAAAGGACTCCACTGACTACCTATGGTACACAACAAGGTTGGTTTACTTCAGCCTCTTTCATTTAAGTTTACTGCGACTGCCTAGTGAATGAATACCCAGGTACTGACCAGATAGGAGATACCTGGGTATCCATTAATCCTATAAGGTTTTTTTTTCCCCGAAACCATTAATCCTATAAGTTGATTTTGCTTTGAACCGTCCTTTGCACTTTCCAGTCCTGCCTGTGACTAAGTTCGTTTTTTATGTCATCTGCAGTTTTAGTGTGGATGAAAGTTACTCCTCGAAAGGGAGCCATGTTGTCCTCAATATCGACTCCAAAGGCCATGGTGTCCATGCTTTCCTGAATAATGAGCTTATAGGTTTGTTCTTTATTGTTACTTTCTAGCTAAAAATACCATGTAGCATAAATCTTTGAGTTGGTTTTCACTGGGAGGTTTCCTTAGGTCCTAGTTAGCCCATATGAACTTTCAGAGTATCCATATATTCCCATGTGGTGAAAAGGTATCCTTGAGAAGTAGAGTTCATGTTTCTACCAGCATCACTGATTACTGCTCAACCGTTAATTTCTGTCGTGCCTCTGACTTTTAGATACTAGCTCGTTAGTTTCACAGTTATTATCTCCTAATTGTTAAGCTCTGCCATCATTACTAGCTGTGGATATCTCTTTCCTCCAGGTAGTGCATATGGTAATGGCTCACAATCAAGTTTCAGTGTGAAATTGCCTATCAACTTGAGGACTGGGAAGAATGAACTTGCCCTTCTAAGTATGACTGTTGGTTTACAAGTAAGCACTTGCTACTAAACATTATTATCATTGAGTTATCTGTGTGAAAAATCTTTGCACACTGAATCACTGATTCTTTGTGCATGCAAATTCACCTATAGTGAGACGCACTCCTGTGAAAAAAGGGGAGAAACATAGACCTTCTTTAAGTACAAAGTGACCATATTGATTAAGACTTTATGCACTCTATAAGAATGCAGGATTCTCTTATGAATGGATAGGAGCGGGCTTTACAAATGTGAACATCTCTGGTGTGAGAAATGGAACCATAGACTTATCTTCAAATAATTGGGCATACAAGGTATTGTCACCGATATTCCTCAAATTTTTTAGGCAAATTTATATTCTAGAATTTATCTGAAATTACATGATGAATTCGATGTAATTGATCCATCTTTATTTACAGAGTATGGTATTTCTCTTGCCCCTGCTGATATATCCTGAAACTGAGATGAAAGTGTGTTTTTTCTTTTTAATTTATAGATTGGACTGGAAGGGGAACATTATGGTTTATTCAAGCCCGATCAGAGAAGTAACCAACGGTGGATACCGCAATCTGAGCCACCGAAAAACCAACCTTTGACATGGTACAAGGTAAGCTTCTATGATTTTCATTCTTGAGATGAACTTCTCCACAACCTGCTAACTTTTAGTTACTAATGAAACATGCTTTTAGTTAAATGTTGATGTTCCAAAAGGAGATGACCCAGTTGGGATAGACATGCAGTCTATGGGGAAAGGCTTGGTTTGGTTGAACGGAAATGCCATCGGGAGGTATTGGCCCAGGACTAGTTCTATTGATGATAGGTGCACTCCCAGTTGTAACTACAGGGGAGAATTTAATCCAAACAAGTGCAGGACAGGTTGTGGACAACCAACTCAGAGATGGTAATTGAAACTGAATTTGGCAAAGTTCATGGTGGTAATTTTTTTATTATTATATTATCTTGTATTTCACAATCTGCTTTGCTTGGTCTAGGTACCATATCCCACGGTCATGGTTTCATCCCTCAGGGAACATCCTTGTGGTCTTTGAGGAAAAGGGTGGGGATCCCACGAGGATCACATTCTCAAGAAGAGCTGTGACAAGCGTGTGCTCCTTTGTGTCAGAGCACTTTCCTTCCATAGACTTGGAGTCCTGGGATGAAAGTGCCACAAACGAAGGCACATCCCCAGCCAAAGCACAGTTGTCTTGCCCCGAGGGTAAAAATATATCTTCCGTAAAGTTTGCGAGCTTGGGAACCCCTAGTGGAACTTGTAGATCATACCAAAAGGGGAGCTGCCACCACCCGGACTCCTTATCTGTTGTTGAGAAGGTAAAATTCGAACAAAATTCTCGATTCCTGACACAAATACTCACATGAAGTAGATTTCAGTATCAGATAACCAATGGACCAGATATTAGTTCTGACTTTTTGAGATTTGTTGATGCATGTGGACTTGGATCGATGCACATGAACTTAGTCTTGGAATTCGATCAGTGTCAGTCCTGAGTTCGTACTATGCAGTGTTGTTGCAACTGGGATTAAAGTATGGTTTACAGTTCGATACCATCAGGTTTTCCTTTTAGGGCCATTTGGGGTGGGGGGTGGGTTGAAGATATACAAGGGTAATTCTATATTCAAAGTAAATATTAGGTTTATATGAGTTGTCTGATAATAGTTTATCAACTATGACTGCATTGAGATCCACATACTACCGTTGACCATATCCCATATCAAGCTTCGTAACAGTAACAGCTCTTTTCTTGGCAGGCCTGTCTGAACACCAATAGCTGTACAGTCTCCCTGTCAGACGAGAGCTTCGGGGAGGATTTATGCCCTGGAGTCACCAAAACACTCGCCATCGAAGCGGACTGTTCTTAGTGGCCTACTAAGTATCTCTGTGTGCATACCAGGCTCCACTACAACTGTGCCCATCAAAATTTCAAAATTGTAGTGCTTGTTGCATGACATATTATTGTAACCTGGATTTAAATATCTACCTGAGCTAAGGTTATGTTCCACGAGCTTTCGCTTTTCTGAAACTTGAAAGTTGTTGCTGAACAGTGATCCATAGCTGAGTCCTGAAAGGTGACAGTTAAAGATAGCGATTGATACTGATCATCTGTGCTAGCAAATGCATCATGTATTGGGATCTCTATGTGAACTGTTTGATTGAGAACCGTGAACGAACCTGCCATGACGCATGGAGATTCGATGCACACGAACTGTTCAGAATTGGCATCCCCTTTGTTATTATGGAAATCAGATCGCACTAAATACCTCCAACAACGGTCACCTAAAATACAAAACTTATTTCACGTTTGAGTAGCGCTACGGGCAAAGGGTTTAATACCTATCAGACATTTTTTTTGTAAATGGGTCTTCAGGAGAGAGGATACTCAGATTTTGGTTATACCTCATCTGACATCCAAAATAGGTCTTCTATATAGATACTTTGTTGGAGGCTATAGGTATTTTGTTGGTGATCTGTTTTGGGTTTGGGTCTAATGATGGGTCTCCAGTTGGAGACAGCTCGTGCTCTTCACGTTGCGTCGCGTCATGAACTTTCTGAGGATTAGCCAATGACAGTGATGCAGGGCTATGCATAAATTCTACTAGGCGCTTGTTTAGTTCCCAAATTCTACACATCCAGATTCTGCATACCGTGATGTGCAGATTTTGCACCCCCAACAGCATGTACCTAGATTTGCAGTTACTGTACCCAAATCTGGGTACATCTGCATACCCAAATTTTGCATGCACAATCGCATGAACTGTAACTCTACACACTTTATTGCATATTCAAAAACTCAAGTAAAATGTAGTCAAATTCGCCGAAAATTGTTACAGACATTCCGATTGTACATAAGAAATTACATCTCAATCTCAGATTATTCACGACCTATTAAACAAATGATGAGCCAGCCTGTCTCGGAATGCATTTATGCTTTCCATGTCCGCACTGTCTGGAGCAGGCTCTGTCTCAGGCTGATCCACAGATGCTTCAACAGGCGCATAGTTGACATTGTTGTCTACCATAGCAAAGTGACCGTCAAAGTCACCATTCATCCTGATGAAGTTGTGCAACGCCATGCATGCAACTATTATATGTGTCTGTGTCGAGATGGATCTGACGGAATGTTAAACAATATATGCCACCTCATCTTTAACACTCCAAACGCCCTTTCGATGACATTTCTAAGAGATGAATGCGCATAATTGAATGTCTCTTTAATACCTTGTAGTTCGGGGGCGTTTTGAAAGTCTTGGATGTGATACTTGGTCTGCCGGTAAGGAGACAGAACCCGGGGCGGTTTGCATACCCCGAGTCCACCAGGTAGTACTTCTCTGCAGCAGTAGTACCGTAAGTTTAACAAGCTTCAATTAGACAATGATGATTGAACTAGCTGGAAAGACACGATTGTGTACCTCTAGGCGCCTTAGGGAAGAAATCTACATGACTTTGTGAGTGCATCATCTAACACTCTCTGTCATGTCATGCATCGATCCAGCCCACCAGCAAGGACAAAAGTAAAGACCATGTCGAAGTCACAAACGGCCATGACATTCTGGGTTGTCTTGCCCTTCCGACACATGTGTTTGATAAATTTATCACTTGGCACGCACTAAATTGACGGAATGTGAGTGCCATCTATTGCCCCTATGCAACCCTTGAATTCAGGATAGAACCTAGCATTCGGACCCTAGGATGCATTGTTGTAAAATCTGGGTCCATAGGTTTAATGATGTCGGCAGATAGGTCTAACACACTGCTCAGGACTTTGTAAAAAAGGTTGTGCACAGTGCCTAGTGATCTCTCAAATCTGTCCTCTGCTTGCCTAACTGATTGTGGAGCCCCAAGTATCCAAAGGAACATTGCTAGAGCCTCAATAGAGGTAGACTTGGTTGAGGATGTGAGGCCATAGTTTGTACTCAACAAACTATGAAGACTATAAAACATTTGGGGACTCATTCTAAACATGTTGTAGCAGGCAGTTTGATTAGCAAGCTTGTTTTGTACCCATTCCTCACCAGATATTGTGGTCATGCCTATACTCAGGCTCTATTGCAATACTTGTCCGGATGTATAGCGTAGTCACACGTACCATAGATAAATGTTTGCTTCATCATCATCTTCTAGCAAAGATATTCCAAAACTCCTCCCACCACCGTCGTCATCATCCACTTGAGCATTAACTTGATGAACAACACACTATTTCGGCAATTGCAATAGAACACACAGACAGACAGTACAAAAACTATTGGTACCCACTATACTCATGCAAGGCTACCTGAATTCAAACATACCATGACCTCACACAGGCAATCAATATAAAAAAATTAGCTTCAGAACTTAGTTTAACAACCATGCTGCAAATTAAGGGCTTAATGACATTGTTCCTCATCACAACCTCGCACATAAAAGACATAGTTCATATAGGACTAATGATCTGCACACACAAAAGACATAGTTCATCATGCCAACTACAGTCACTTTTAGGTGAAATGCATGGATAGATGGTTCTAGTTTCCAACCCCAGCATAGTGCTTAATGACTTCAAGCCTTGCTTCCACAGGTGTCTCGAGGAAGACAGTCCTGGCATCGTCATCTTTGCAGATATTGATGACACCAACCCACAGCCCCTGAATCTTGTGCGCCCCAACCTCTCTTGCTGCAGCCGCAACCAATTTTTGTTCTTCTTTCTTGATGTTCTTCTCTCCTCATCAAGAGCCGCAACACTGTTCTCGCCTCTCCTTCCAGCCAGTTTTGCTTTTGCATCATTGCGGTCCTGTTCTCATAATCGAAGTTGACTCCGCTCATGTTGGCATCCATGGACCGAACAACATTTGCACTCTTGGACTTCTTGTTTGGGAGATGATGCATCGTCATGAAGTGTTGCTTGCTCCTCTTGCTTCCAGAGTGACTAGGGTCGCATACTGTCGGAGGGGTGACTGGTCATGATCTGCTTCTTCTTCGCTTTCGCCGCTAACGTAGTGAAGGCGGCGGCTCACCCCAGGAACAAATGAGGTCTCTCCGTTCACGGCAACTCCAGCGAACATGCGGTCCAGTTCATCAATGTATTCTGGCCATCCATCTTTGAGTTCCATCCAGTCTTGCTTCCCCTGCATTGCAAACAACAAACCACATACTATCAAAATCAACAATAGATGCGAAGCACAGAGGAACAATAGATGAGTACAGAGCTCATGAACCTTGCAATGGTCTTCCCACCACTTGTCAGAAGCAACCACAGAGCCATCTTCTCTTCTTCCCAAGCCTGTGGCCTTGTGCCGAAGGTCCTCGATGAAAAGCCAAAGCTGTTTCAGCTGTCTGTACTTATGCCCGAACTGCTCACTGTCATGAAGCTTACCAGTCGCAGCTCGAAACCTGTCCTGGACATCTTTCCACCCCCATTTGGTCATGTTGCCATTCTTGCAGTTACCCAAATCAATTTGGGTGCAGTAAATCTCACAAAACTTCTTAGTATCATCTTTGTTCCACTTTGCTCTGGTTATCTCATTCTGTGGACATTGTAATGGACAAGCAATGCATGAACAATACCTCGTATGAAAGTAAGCATTACAAATGGAGGCATGGAACACGACAGGGAAAATGTAAACACAAAGGCAGAACGTCGATTCGAAACGCGGAAATGGGAAGCGAGATGTACCGAGACGGGAGGGTTGTTGTCGCCGGCCACTGCTTGACCCGCGCCGCGACGACGGGCACCACGCGACCTGGATGCAGCTCGGCGCTGACGATGCACGGGAGCCGTGTTCACCCCACCGCTGCAGGGAGGCACGCGGACGGGAGGGGGGCCCCGGCTGCTGCCGATTCCGCCCGCTTGGTCGCCGGAGCGAAGGATGCCTTCGTAGGCGTCGATGTTTGGCCAACCTTCGCTTGCGTTGACGTTGAGCCCAGACATACGCAGGTCACCTGGGGACGGGATGGTCGACGACGAGAGCGGAGGCGGCACGGAGGTGTACGAGTTGTAGTCACCGGATCCGGAGCCCGGCGGCGCCAGGGAGAAGAGGTTCCTTGTGCGGCGGCCGTCGTAGTAGTCGGAGACGTTGTCGTATCCGGCGAGGTCGAACTCGGAGCCGTTGCCGGATGCGCCGACGTTGAACTCCGAGCCATTCCCTTCGCCATTGAAGCCGTCCATCGCCGACGACGGGGTCAACCACGGTCGATCCGGTAGCGGACGCGATGGATCCGACCGACAATGGGGTGGATCTGGCGGTGGAACGGTGGATTGGAGCGCAGGCGGCGAGAGGAGAGGCGGGGGAGAGGGAGAGCAGCGCTGCAGGAGAGGGAGCCGGCGCTAGGGTTTGGGAGTGTGGCTGAGGAGTGCGAATGAGCGAGAGAGGATGGGGGCGGTCGTCGGCGGGGGTATTACGTCCACGGCCGAATTTGGGCGCTCCAAAGTTGGTAGGCCTGTTTAGTTAAGAAGGGCCGAAACACTGTGCAATTCTGGACTCCACGCCTGAATTCGGGCGAACTAAACGGGCCCTAGATCGGAAAGATGGCTTGTCGTTTCTTCACTATTGGGGGACACAAATGAGCCTCCCACTGTGACACCACCATGGTTACAGTGTGGGACTGTAGGTTGAGGGAGACGAAACCTCCTGCGTAGTGCCCCTTTTGCCGTAGCTTTCCTCTAGAGCCGTCCGTGCTGTACGAACATCGGAGACTCGGAGTGTGCAGTAGTAAATGTTCATTCAGCTCTTAAACTAGTCGCTCTGGCGATATGAATGCTCGCGATTTTTGTGGACTGCAGTGCAAATTTGCAGTTCAGTCTTGGTTGCGCATTGCTGCATGTCTCTTCCTAGTTCCTTATCAGAGTTGCTCCGATTTTATTTGAGCCCGTGTTGTCTTGGGC